GACGCTTAACCTGTGGCACTTGTTTTTTTTGTGTGTGTCCTGTCCAACCCTCACACCTTCTCCCCCACCTCACCCCCCTTCCCTACTGCAGCCCTACGGTGCCTCTCCTGGCTTTGGGAAGGAGCCTGCGCCCCCTGTGGCGGTTTGGAAGGGTCATTCCTTCAACACCATCTCTGGCCGAGAAGCTGAGAAGTTCAGCGGCAAAGACAGCGGGAAAGGAGACAGTGATTTCAATGACAGTGACTCCGACATCAGCGGGGACGCTCTGAAAAAGGACCTCATCAACCACATGCAGAGTGGTGAGGATGCTTCTCCCCAGCCCAGGCCAGCGGTCCACCTCCCCTTCCCAGCTGCTTGCCTCCTCAAAACCCTCAGTCCCAGACCTCTCCCTCATCCCTCTGCAATACTCCAGCCCCAGCCGGACCCCCATCCTGTTAGATGCTAGCCATAGAAGGAGGCTACTCTGCTTATTGTTTCGTGTTGTTGACACTGTTTTCCTCCCAGCAAAAGAGCTACGCTTTGCATCATATAAAATTATCTTTATGAAAAGCATGTGCCTTTAGGTTCTTAAACACACCTTCCTCTTCAGCTGCCCCTGACCCTGGCTGACATTCTGCAGATGGAGGCCTAAGTGTACTGACCTCACGAATTTCTTTCTCTTTTTCCTAGGACTGTGGGCGTGCACTGCTGAGTGCAAGATTCTGGGCCATTCTGATCGCTGCTGGAGCCCATCCTGTGCAGGACCCAGTGCGCACCCCCCTCCTCACCCACCAGCCCAGATGTCAACCTTCTGTAAGAGCACATCCCTGCCTCGGGATCCCCTGCGCAGGGACAATTACTACCAAGCCCAGCTGCCCAAGACAGTAGGGCTTCAGAGCGTCTATGAGAAAGTGCTGCATAGGGACTATGACCGGACAGTCACTTTGCTCTCCCCTCCCCGTCCAGGGAGGCTCCCAGACCTGCAGGAGATCGGGGTACCCCTCTATGAGTCCCCTCCTGGTGGCAGATATGTGTCCCCGAAGAAGGGGGCCAATGAAAATGTGTAAACGTATGCTGCATGTCTTCACACACATATACAGGTCACCCTGAGACGTCCCTAAGTTATTGACCGGTTTCAGTGTTGTATATATAAATATGCAAGATGTGCCTTAAAATGAAGCTGTTGGAAGCTATTTCCAATCACATTGGTACTGTTTGGTATTTGCAAACAAAAAAAATGTAGTTAATGTAATTTTTATGAAATGTGTGCAGTATTTAATTTTTCTTATCATGCTATTCACTTTAATTTCACTTGTGGCTTGCCATTTTCTTAGTGTTTTTAACCTGTACATTGTGTAATGTAATGTTTGTATATACTGAAATTTTGTTATATTTTTATATAATAAAAGCTAAGTGGAAGTTACTGCCAAAGGATTGTCTGTAAGACAAAAAAAAAAATGTTGGAATTGCTTAATGGAATTTTATCTTTCACCAGAAACAACCTAATGTTTGAGAAGTTTTGCCTTGCCAAGTCTAACAACTTGTAGATCTTGAGTCTGTGGTAGATTTCAAGTTAATGTTATTTAATTACATTTGGTTCTCTGTAAGCCGTGTCACTTATAAGCACAGTAATAAAGGATTTGTCATGTATTTGAAGAATCTGCTAATTGCTTTTCATGGAGTTGCCTGAAGTCAGGCATTCACAAATAATTCCAGTACCAGAATAAAACCTCTTTTCAAGAGCTAATTATTCAGGCATTGTTAGGGCTTCTGGTGATGCTGAGCCTGTGGGATTTGGGATATTGCAAAACCTTGCCAAACAACTAAAAACATTTGTTGACTTTGTAAAAATATTTTTGACTCCATATGCATTTGCTACTATGTGAAGTTCCTGCCCTCATTTACCCCTTCAACAAATATCAATTGAGCATTTACCAAAAAGTAAAGGAAAGCTAAACTTGAGCTCTTCATTCACTAATTGAGCAAACATTTGTTGAGGTTTTAGCAGAGCCAAGCAACTCCTTTAGGAGCTGGCCTTGAGCTGAAGAGGATCCAGACCTCTTATTATAGTGGTGGCATCAAAAAGATGCACAAGTGGGATGAAGACATAGTTCAGTGCTGGAGTGCCTGCTCTGGGTTTGATTCCCCTGCACTGCAGAAAAAGAAAAAAAAAAAAAGGAAGGGGGAACACACATTGCAGATGAAATGACACAATGCCTAGGATTTGCTTTAACATATTCAACAGAAAAATCATGAAACACGGCTGACAAAATACTACCAATAACCAGCATGGGTGCATGATGGCGTGAGTAGGGTGACTTGGAAGGTTTAAGACAGCCAGTAAGTTAGGCCTGCTGGCGCTTGATTTTCATCCCAGCACTTGGGAGATGGGTGCAGAAGGACTATGAGTTCAAGGCAAGCCAGGGCTACATAAAACCCTGTCTCCAGAATGCGAAAGATAAAATGACATGAAACCATCTACATCTATGTCTTCTGCGATTTCATTTAAAATTAAAATGAAGCTAATGATGAGAGTTGGCATTTACTGAGGGAGCTTTTCTATATGCAAAGCTCTTCTCGGAGTGTTCTTTGTGAATTTAATCCTCCAACTACCTCCAGGCCACAGGAACTATGGTTAACTCTACTTTGCAAATAAGGAAACTGAGGCATAAGCAAGTTACACAAAGCATGATCAGCTTGCATACCTCAGTCCAGGATGAGAATCGCACCCAGATCACTCAGTAAAAGGAAGCAAGGGAAGAAGTTTGAGATGGCTCATTAATTTGAAAAAAACAAAGAGTTAGAAGGAAAAGTCCAATGTCTTGCCTTTGCTGCTTGATTATTGTTTAGCCCTTTGTATTTGTAAGTGCCTGTGTTCCTTTATTGCTAATTATAGAGTGAGCCACTGTAATGAATAGAGAATCCCTCAAAGCTGCCTGTTGAAGTCATAATTGAAGCCAGCGGTAGCTCCAAGCTGAACAGCGGGTCAGGCACACAAGTGTTTCACCACCCACCGCCTGTGTGCAAAGTTCAGCAGTTTCTCCCAGCAACCAAACTGCACGTGTGCCTGACAGGCTGGCTGCCCAGTCCTCGGGGTCTAAAAGCAAACACTGGATGTTTGTCGGTTACCAACCTTATCTGCCAAGTCGGGAAGACCCATCTCTAGAAGACAGATCCCCAAGGAGATATCTCATAACAAGTGGAGTTTATTAATGAGTCAGTCCTGTGAAATGTAGAGCAGAAGATGCTAAAAGAGTGCTGTCTCTTTATATTTGGTGACTGGAGCCTTCAAAATCAAAACAATGAGGGCTGCCAAGATGGCCCAGCAGTGATCTGTTGGGAATGGGCCCTGGCAGTGGGAGCAGGATCTATCCCCAGTTCGTGAACTGGCTTTTTGGAGCCCGTTCCCTATGGTGGGATAACCTTGCTCAAGCCTTGGGGGTGGGGGAGTGCTGGTCCTGCCTCAACTTGGTATGCCCGACTTTGTTGACTCCCCACTCCTTACTCCCTCTGAGGAATGGATGGGAGATGGGAAGGGAGGAGGTGGGGGGGTTGAGAGAAGGGAAGGGAGGGGGAACTGGGGTTGGTATGTAAAATGAAGGAAAAAAATGACTCAGCAGGCAAAGGTGCTTGCCACCAAGTCTAACAACCTAAGTTCGATTCCCATCCCCATCTCATTTGAGGAAGCTAACTGACTCATGTAAGTTGTTTTTCTGAACTCCATACACCCTAGCACATGTGTGTGTACCCAACACACAAAATAAACCAATATGTGTAACTTTTAAATTTTCAAAATAAAATAATGATAGAAACATTTTTTTGAAATGTGCAAGACATTTTACTTGTCCAAAAAATATTGGAATCCAAAACCCCCAGTTTTATTATAATATTCTTCCTTTGAGGAAAAATAACACTGTTTTGACAAAGTAAACATGTAACTCACTCCTTAAACTTATTTAGATTAAAAAAGAGGAAGGGAGTCTGTTCTAAGGGCCAGAGTGAGAGGTGTTTTCTACTTTTCTCTAGAAATGTCTGCTCCTGATTACATTTTAAAGAAAATGGTCTAGAGTGATGTCTCACCACATACTGCCCTACTCCCTCTTGGCTGTTTCCTTTGGGCCTGTCTCCACGGTTACTCTCAGCCCAGCCCACCACACACGGGAAGAAGTAGACTCAGGGTGTCTGACCTCCCCACCTCTTCCATTTTCACCAAGTAGGCCTGCGCCCCCTGCATAGCCAACAGTTTACAAACAAGTATGGCTGAAGCAAGCATCACATGCAAACCCATGAGCCTCTCAAGTCTGTGACTGCAGCGGAAATACCACTCTGGGGGTGGAAGTTCACTGCACCTTGGCAGTGAGCCCGGGACAGGTGATGGCCCTGGGGGAAGAGGAAGGTCACCGGGAAAGAAAGCCAAACCAGACTTTACGTCTTTCATGTCTTTGTCTCTGGCTCCATTGGCTTGGGTGCCCTAAACTTCTTCCTATAATAAAATACCCATCAAAGAAACCGCTTCAGAAAATTAAAATGTAAGTGGTTTCAATATCTATTGAAAAATGCATTCTGAAATAGAGCAAAAACAGGATGAGTGTCTCCAAATGCAAAGATATATGCCTATGGAGAGAAAAATATATATAATCAGGATGAGTTCCATGCTATAATTAGCTAACTATCTGGCTTATTACACTTGGCAAATATAAGCTCTTATCATCTAAAGATTCCATTTTAGAAGGCAAGCACATTCACTTTGGTACTGAACTCAGCAACAACAGGATAATTGGAATGCAGTAAGTTTTGAAAGCAGACTGGAGCAGGGGAAGACAACACTCGGTGGACTACTGGGCTCTGCAACAACTCCGGAGAGACCTCAAAATGTTGTCCTGATTTTCAATAGCTATGCAGTAACTCAAAGAGTGTTTATTGTCCCTTCTCTCACAGGAAAACAAACTGCAATAGAGCTCACATACAGGATCAACAGCTGCTAAAGAAGCAGCAGAGAGCAACACACACCAAGCTATTTTTACAGTCACCGCCTAAAACCCCCATATTACATGGGCTCTTTTGGTGGGGGGAAAGGGGGATCTTCATTTATTACCAGAGTTAGGACTTTCTCCACAAAACCTCTTTTAAAAATGTCAACATGTCTAATTGAAACCGAATAGTTTAACGTGGAGATAGGAAAATACTGTTTGCTAACCCAGTCTGACGCTTGACTGTATTTCAGGTACCTCCGACTCAGCATGTCCAAATGAGAATTATTTCCTCTGCTGTGCTACGATTAACCCCCAGCTACCCCCATGGCAACTGTCTAAAGCTCAGTAGATGGAAGTGCCAACTCAAACATATAAATGTTATTTTAATGCCCTTTCTTTTATAGTTGATGTTTTTGAGAATTTTATACATGGGTACCAGATTTACATCCTCTCCATCCCTCTCTCTCCCCTCTAACTCCTCCTGTGTCCCTCATGCTTCCTTTCAAATCCATGACTCTTCTCTTTCCCTTCTTCTGTTGTGTTTGTTACATGTGTGCATATATATATATATATATATAAATGCATATATATGTATATATATATATGCAACCCGCTGAGCCCATTTAGTGTTGCTCCTACATATATGTGTTTAGGGTTGACTGCTTGGGAATGAAAAGCCTAACAGGGGGGCTGGTCCCTAGAAAAGACTGATTCTCCCTCCCTCAACATTAGTCACATGTAGCTATTCACCCTATTTCTTACTCCTAATATCCATCTTCCTTTTTTTAATTAATCTTATTTACTTATTTCTATTTTTATTTATTTTGTGAAGGACAACTTGCAAGAGTTAATTCTCACTTCCCATCATGTTGGTCCTGGGAACTAAATTAAGGTTGTTGGCTTAGTGGCAAGTACCTTTATCTACTGAGCCATCTCGTTGGACCTAATAGCCAATCTTTTATCAAGACCTATTGGTTCTACCTTATAAATATTACTTAATGATCCTCTCATCCCACTATACAATCAGTGATCTACCCATATCCTTTCTACCATATCCAGTCCGTCTCAAACACGGCAGTCCCTCAGACACTTTG